TATATATATCACCTATACCTAAAATAGAAAAGCTGCTATCAATTATAATTCTATACAACCTTCTGCTTTTCTGTTCACACTGGCTTGATTTTAGAAACAGTGCATGTATGAAGCAAATGCCTGCTTCAGGCAAGGCTCCGATGATACATGTTTCTTGCTCTGTCTGACCTTGAATACATAGCTATTTCTTGTTGCTTGGGATTCCTCCCTTGTGTTCAATAGTTGGTATTTGTCACTCCATAGCAGCTGTAAAACACTAAATCTAGAGAGAACAGTGAAATAAGAATATTTGTCACATGGACACTTAACTTTCCTTATGAAACTAAACTTGTCTCTGTGGAATACTTCTTAGCCCAGACAAAATGGCAAGGTGAACCGAGTGGCAGGGAGTGAAACTAAGCCAGGGACAGTGACTGGTAGTAGCTAGAATTAAGAAACCTTTGTCTTCGACTGTGCATGGTAATACAGTCCTTCTGTATTCCCAGGACTGGGAATGCAGAGGCTAGAGGCTGGGCTACATGAAGTTAACCTGGGCTACATGAAAAGATCATGTTTCAAAAAGCCAAAACGAGTCAAAAAACAAAAACAAAAACAAAAACAAAGTTAGTCTGTGGCTTAAATCAATTTAATTTTATTCTACAGTTAACCCTTGCATCAAGCTTTAACCTTTGCCTGAAATCTAAGCAGCTATTCTAGGGCTCCTACAAAGTGATTGAAATTTCACATCATAAATCTTAATGTAACAGTCTTTGTGGAGTTTGTGCCTTGTGTTCCTCAGTAGTTTCTTTGAACAGAGATTGATTCAAAGTAAACTGAATTTTGTTGTTGACAGGTACTTTGGGTAAAAAGGTGAATAAGACACAGTTTTAAGTGAGAACCAGTAACCTATTAAAGAGGAACTACAGTTACTACAGTTTCAATTAGGCTGAGGATGCAGCTCAGTGGTTGAGAGCTTGCCTAGCATGGGCAGGGTTCTGCATGTGATTTCTGATACAATAAAAGCAAAAGAATAGAAATAAGAAGAGCGCCCATTATAAACAGGTCATGAGCACATCTCCTAACTCTGCGTTCAATATCTGAGTTTACCCCTGAAATCCATTCTTTCCATTCTTTGCAGAGGATTATTTAGCTCCAAATTTTATCAGGTTCCTCTTGTATATGAGACCCTATGTCTTCTGCCCTCTGGCTGCAACCTGCTTCTCCAAGCTCATATGTTGCTATTTGTTTTTCTCTGGATCATCCTTCATATTCCTGTTTTCTTCTAGAACTTCTTGTTCAGTACTTCTGCCTAGAGCATTCTTCCCCATACTAACCATTTGCTGGCTGATTCTTTCTCATCTTTTAGGTCTTCATTGTATAGCACTTTTCCTATAAAATAAATCTTTCTTGGCCCATCTGAATATACAATCTGATTCTTCTTTTCTATTACCTGAGCAGATATCTCCACATACTAAACCTCCTCTGGGAAGGACAGCAATCTTTTCATGTGTGCTTAGCATGGTTATATCCCACACCATGTGCTCCATAGCTATTTACAAATTAATGAATAAATGAGTTAATGAATGAGTAATAACTGCTCTAAAACTTATCTTCAAAACAAAAATAGAAATCCAGACTACAATCCAACAGGCCTACTATCCAGGCCATTGTGCTTGGCCTTAAGGTCACTATGTAGCCTATGATAATGACCTTGGGCTCTTGATTTTCCTGGCTCTACTCCCCAAGTGTTGAGATTATAGACTTCTGCCATTGTAGTTGACTCTCATGTCTTTGTCTTTAAATAAGCACTCAAAACAGTACCTGAAATATTTGTATAGCTACCAGTCAGTGCTATGCTGAAAACCCATATGGATCAGCACTTTTTTAGTCATTTTAGAGGTGAAAAGAAACAGTCAAAATGACCTAATGTTATTTTTTAAAGGTGCACTGTGTGCAACTGCTTCATTTTTAGATGTATTCCCCTCAACAGAATGGGAAAAGCTAGTAAGGGTGCAAGGATGTACTGTTTATTGAGATCACTGATAAGCCCTAACATACATGATAGAATGTATGAACTCTGGTGGGTGAGCTGTGGGCAGGGGGTGGGAGTGTAGATAGGAGAGAGAGTCTAAATATCATTAAGATGTATTGTATGAAATGCACAAAAAGTCAGTAAAATATATTGAAAAATCAAGACTAGGGGATAATTTATTAAACCCTGATATGGTGAGAAGGTATGAAGGAAAGTGATAGGAAGTGGCATTTGATCTGGCCTTAAATAATGAAATAAAGCTGCATGTGGTATCATAAATCGTTAACCCCAGTACTTGGGAGACAAAGGCATGTAGATCTCTATGAGACAGAGGTTCAGTCTGGTCTATATAGTGAGTTCCAGGCCAACTGAGGCTACAGAGAGACCCTCCCTCAAAAACAAACAAACAAAAACAACAAAACAACAGTAAAGGATGACAAACAAGGAATTTCACCAGGAACATGAGGAAAGAAGAGAGAAATCAAAGAACTGCATGAGCAAATTCAAGGGTTTTCAGTGGACTCCCTAAGCTTTCATCTCCCAAGAAGCCATCGCTTCCGCCAAGCCTTCCTAGCAGTCCACCTTATGGAGATTAACCTTCCTGCGATGCATCTTAAGGAGATTAGATATTTCTTGTAGATGCGCTAAAAGTTCTTTCTGCCCCTGGGCTTTATAAAGTGTTTCTCTAAAATGAAATTTTAAGTAGGTTATCTAAAATTACCATCAGGAATATTAACTTTGGTGTTGTATTTATATAGCATTCTTTTTGTAAAGATGAAATTAAAATTAATTCTTAGCTGGACGTGGTGGTGCACACCTCTAAAGACCAACACTTGGGAGGCAGAGTCAGGTGGATCTCTGTGAAGTCAAGGCCAGCCTATTCTACATAATGAATTTCAGGCTAGCTGCAGCTACAGGGAAACCCCATCTCAAAAAAAAAAGAACAAAAAATTAATTAATTATTAATATTTGCTATAAATGTTTATTTGTTATTTTATTGTGTTTTATACAAAACATCTTAATCACCTTTATACCCCTTTCCCTATCTATGCCTTCCTATAGTCCCCCCCACACCAAACTTCATGCGTTCTTTCATACATGTTAAGGCCTTTCGAGTCAAATTAGTATACCCAGACATCTCAGTGCAAGTTCATCACAGTAGGAGGTGCATGACCATAAGGAATGACATCTTATAGGCCCCTGGGACCTTGCTCTCATTTGAACTTAAGCAATGGTGTCAGCATGCACAAGACCCATGCAAATTCAGTATTTGCTATTTTTACTATGTGATAAAAAAGGCAAATTGGTGGGAGAATAGGAGCTAGGGAAACAAACAAAGAAATACATAAGCCTGACAGTTTACAGTACTGAAGGTGTGTAATCACTACCATACAGAGTGTGAACACCTAACACAGGCATAACGGGTTGGAAGCCCACGGCAAAAGGCAACAGTCCCTTTTGAGGAAATAGGTCTCCATAGTCAGACTGACTTGAATGGCAGCCCCTTCTTCTTTGTATCAAATTCTTGTGTTGAATTCATGAATGGAGCACATTTCCTGTATAGGAAAATAATGTGTCTTCAGATTAATAGGAATAAAGTATATATGTGTAACTCATTCGTTTTAAACACTGACAGCCTCTCACTCAAAAGCATCATCTTTGGAAAGAAGAGAAGCTTAGGCAAGCTATCAAAGTTCCCTTAGAGTGGACACTTTCCAGCATTAATTATGGAAACCTCCTGAAGCATTTAGCTTCACACATGTGAACTGCAGTTATTTTATATAACAGCACTTCAAATCGTAACTCAGTGGCAACAGCCTTATTGGAAAGCCAGAGATTAATAATGAGTTTATTCAGCTTATAGCTTGAGGCAAAAACAGCCACAAAGCCAAGATCCCTGGGACTGCTGATCTTTTCAATGAAGGCCCCACTGCCCTAGAGCATAAGCATGAATTACTTTACTGCTTTCCAGGGTCTCTGTACCTTCCATGGCCTTTCGTTTTAGTATAAAAGGATGATAAATTTGTTTTTCCTGCCCTTTATATTTTAGCTAGTATTTGGTGTATAGTTATGTCCTTGAAATAATAAAAGTATGACAATAATAGCAATATTTGCTATTCATTTCATCACACATTTTAATGTTCTTTCTTTGAAAAAGCCCAGCAAAGTAAATATATTACATTCTCCTTCTTATATGAAAGGAATAGAAACTTAAGGAATTTAAGTTATTTCTCAAGAATATACAACAAGCAAACTTAATTCAGAGCCAGTTTTTCTGATTTCAAATTCCAGGCTCTTGACCACCTCTTTCTACCGTTCTATTTCTTTAAGCCCCACCTGAAACTTCTGTCTTATGTCCTACATGTAATATAGCCTGCTGACAGCTAGATCTGACTCCTGCTGTCTCTTTAAGAAAGTATTAAGGAAGTTAGAAATGTTCAGAGACTATCAGATATACATTTCAGTGTCAGCTCTGCCATTTCATAGTTGCATAATATTTTCCAGGTTAACTAACCTCTCTGATTCTCAATCTAAAAGATAATGAGTAAACATTAAAAAGACTTGATTAGGTTAGTTCGGTGAATTGGTGCTTAGCACAGTTCCAGTTCCAGGCATGAAGATGCAGTATGATACGGGGTTGGTTCCCAGGCCCCCTATTTTATGATGTCTCCATGTCTTCTCAATCTGCTTGGATTTTCTCCTATTGCTTCAACCAGTCACTGTTTTCTGGCATGCGATCTAGAATTTCTTTGTAGATCTAAAGCTATTCAAAAGCTGGAACCACTAAAGGGTAAGCATAATATGGATGCTTCTTAACATCTCGGAAAAGCCAAATTCAGTAAATGCTGACTGTACTTTCTTGATCAAATATGTGGACACATATGACAAAAAATGTATGGTATTTTAGTATATGAGAGCCTGTAGGAAATGTGATTGGTGCAAACTTAGCCAGTTCATGTGCTAAAACTGGAAGGATTCAGAGAAGATTATCATGGCCTTTCTGCAAAGATGACATGCAAATTTATGAAGCATTCCTCATTTAAAAAAAACTGTAGTTGGAAATCAAAGCATTTGAGCTTCTGAGGATATTTTTACTTTGCTGAACAGACTGTGTAACAAGACTATAACTTAAGATCAATAGTATACATTTTCCCTATTTGAAGATATAAAATGATTCAACATATGTTTCCAGCTTCTCAAGTTTATTCTTGACGTATGTCATTGGAAAAGAATAATGCTATTATGCCCAAAAGCCAATGGATTAAAGGACTTTAAAAGTGGTGTCTACACAAATTGAATATTATTGAAGCTTTAAAAAAATAAAGAATCCTCATCATTCACAACATGGATAAACCTGGAAGACATATGTTAAGTAAAATAAGGTAGACAAATACTGCATGTTTTCACTTATATGGGGAATATAAAATTAAATTTATAGAATCAGAGCATAAAATGGTGGTTACCAGGGGCTGGGATAGAGGGATGATAGAGAGTGCTAAAAAATCCATTTTGCTTAGACCTGAAGAACAAGATCTAGAGGTCTATTATATAGCAGAGTAAGTTCAGGCAATAACAGCATATTATCAAAACAGATGTTGCTAGACTAGATTTTAAGAGTTCTCCCCACAGCAAATTATTGAGGTGGTGCATGCATTAATTCATTTGATTTTACTATTCTATAATGCATAACAAACACATAGATTATGTGAATTAAAAAAAGAAGAATGTTGTATGGGAAATTTTAAGCCTGGAGACTTCATTGTAATGAATAGAATCTGAAATTCCCTAAATACTAGAACACATAAAAATACATCTGGGATTAGGTGACCTCAAGATGATTTCAAACACAGTGCCCTGTTTTGTTGCCCAGAAGCTGTTTTCAGAGAGGAGCTCTGGAGGAGAAAGAAGGAGGCCACATTTGTTTATAGAGATATTGCCTCTCCTAGTGTATTTTTCTCTCAAGTTTTTGTTTTTGTTTGTTTTACCACTGTGTAAATAATTCTGTGGAAAACCAAGAATAAAAAGGGCTTTTAAAAATATATGAGGCCTTACATAGAAGTTAGAATTTGAATTATCATTATGCTTACAACTCCTAACGTTCTTACCTAACATTCTTGAGCATCTTGGGTAGAGTGCCTATGAGCTATTTCATTCCCTCTGCCTTGGCTCAGAGTAAAAATAAAAACTATTCAATAACTGGTTTTTCCATGTACACATGCACCAAGTAACGCTGTCTTTTGCTTTCTCCCACTTAATTGCCACAAGGTCCAATGCCATAGATAATATCTGTCTCTGTTCCTCTCACATAATTTTGTGGAGAGGAAAAAATCCTAAAGCCTAGAAAATGAAATCATTTATTCTATATCGCATAGCTACCAAATGTAGAGGAGGAGTTTAAACTCAGGTCTGAGGACTGGGACCATATATCTCAGTGGTAGAGTGCTTGCCTAGCATATTCAAAAACCTGGGGTCTCTCATGCATAGGAAGAAAAAGAGACAGAGAGAGAGGAGGGGAGAGGGAGGGAAGGAGAGAGGGAGGGATGGACTGACAGAAGGAGGGAGGGAAAGAAGAAGAAAGGGAGGGAGGGAAGAAGGGAAACTGTTCTTGTCTTTCTGACTCCATAGACCATATTCTTAACCAGAAGTCTTCAAAGATACCTGGGAACGAGAATGACCTGGTAACTACTGCATTAGAACTTCCAGAGGATACTGTCCCACCGCTAAATTGTCATACAGTGAGGCCAGACATCGGGAAGCTCTACTCTGAGACATCACACTTAAATATCCTCTGCAATCAGTAGCTGCTAAATGAGCAAATGGTGTTGGTCATTCTTCCTCTAATAATCTATTCCTCTCGAGCAAATCTCCTCAATTTATAATTCAGAAATTCTTGTGAAGCTATGTATAAATTTCCTTTGTTGCAGGGAAGGAAATTATTGGAGATTGACTCTAGCGATCCTGTATGCTTAGCAGGTACTCTACCACTGAGCTATATCTCCATCCCGCGTCACTTTCTATATAGACAGTACGTCACTAAATTGTTCATGTGAGCCTGTACTCCTAGCAGGCCTTGAGCTTGCAATTCCCTTTCCATGGCCTTCCAAGAAGCAGGCTTGTGCTACCAGGCCCAACTCTCCTAATATCATTTTATCAACCATATGCTCATGGAAAAGCTTAGCCTCTGTAGTTATAGAAGGTCCTTGATGAAGGATGAAGTCAAATCAGAAAGGTAAAATCATGTCTTTGTTATCCCCCCTCTGGATAATCTGTCACTTCAGGCATCATCCATGCCAAGTATTCCTGGGTGGTCCAGAAGCACCCTACTTAAGTGTGGTGATACTTCCAACTGATTTACATTGTTCTGGCTAGCACACTCCTCAATAAAGTGATGCCACTCTTCCTGAGGCAATTGTTTGTTTTGTTTTCTAAATTTAAAGTTTATTAGTACTTAAAAAAATACAACTTTTACAGGACACTCAATGAAAAAACACATTTTTTTTTTAACTTTTACAAAAACTTTATTGAGAATTTCATACATGTATATAAGGTATTTTGATCAAAACCATGCCCACTCCCTCCCCTCAAGCATTAACACCTCTGAAGAGGTAACCCTAAAATCTTTTAAGGATTAGATACAAGTTCTCAAATACTTTTGACGTTTTTGGCCTTTGGAACAGAATATGTTGCTAACAGGCCCAAGGACATTTTGACTTTTAGCCAAGACACTGACTAGATTTCTTTGGGGTCTTTTTACCCTAACTGCCTAGCCAATTCCTACATTACTAGTCTTATCACACCATCCTCCAAAGAGGTTACCCAAATTGCCAATAGCGAATAGAGGACGCCGACTGCTCTGGATTCCTCCACGCTGAACAGGGATGCAGGTGAGGCAACTGGAGTACCCCTTCAGTGGGTCTTACTTGATCACGGTGAATGATCTTTTTGATGTGTATCTGTATGTGGTTTGCAAGTATTTTGTTAAGAATTTTTGCATCTATATTCATTAGGGATATGGGTTCCTCTGTTTCTATCATTTTGAATAATCTAAGTAGTATTGGTTGGAGATCTTCTTTAAATGTCTGGTAGAATTCTGCTGTAAATTCATCTGGGCCTGGACTTTTTAGGTTCAAATTTCTCTGAATTAACAGCCTCTCATGGTATCACATGTGGATTCTGCCCATTTAAGGACTTATTTTGTGTTGAAAATATGTTATATTCTGAGAGCACATTCAAAGGACTTAGAGGAAATAAACTAAATATATAAATACATTAGTATGCCTCTTAAAATTACCTATTCTTCTTCTTCTAAATGTTATAGTATATCCACACATGCATTTATTTACATATATACATTATAAGCTAGGCCCCACATATGATGGAAGACATGCATTGTTTTGTTTTTGTTTTTATTTGCTTTCTGAAATTGGGTGACCTCGATTATTATTACATATTTTAGGCCCATCTATTTTCCTGAAACTTTTATGATTTCATTTTTCTTTTTTTTAAATAATTTATTGAGAATTTCATACATGCATATAAGGTATTTTGATCAAATACATGCCCACTCCCGCCCCTCCAACTCCTCCCATATCTCCACATCACTTTTTTTCAGATAAATTCATGTACTCTTTCTTCTTTTTTTTTTTTTTTAATGTGGTTTTTTGCTACTTTAACATTCCCCCCTCTGAAGAGGTAACCCTAAAATCTTTTAAGGATTAGATAAGAGCTCACAAATACTTTTGATATTTTTGGACTTTGGAACATAGTATATTGCTAAGAGGCTTAAGGACATTTTGAGTTTTAGCCAAGAAACTGGGTACTTTTCTTTGGGGTCTTTTTACCCTAACTGCCTAGCCAGTCCCCACCTCCTATTCTTATCACACGATCGTCTGCAGAGGTTACCCAAATTACCAGTAAGGATTTGGAATGCAGACTGCTCTGGCTTCTTCCATGCTGTACAGGGACACAGGGTGAGGCAATTGGAGTGAGTCTATCTAAAAGATTCCCAAATTGCATAACTTTTATCTGTAGAGGGAAAAGAAAGTCCTTGACTGGTGAATAGGAGACATGAAGGAGAAGTAAAGGCAGGAGTAATTAGCATTACAAATTCTGGACAGGGAACTAGAAAAAAGTCAGAACAGGGCAATTTTCAAATGTTCATATGAGAGTCCATTGGAATTTCTTGACAAGGACTTCCAAAAGCATCCCTCTATTGAGTTCTTCCTCATTTTTCTTTTGTCTGCCAAGGCTGGACTTGAAAGTGATGGATTCAGGATTTGGATGTAGATCTTCTTTAAATGTCTGATAAAATTCTGATGTAAATCCATCTGGTCCTGGGATTTTTTTAGTCAGGAGGTTTTGTATTACTGTTTCAATTTCTTTTTGTGTTATGGGTCTGTTTAAGATGTTAATCTCTTCTTGGTTTAGTTTTGGTGGCTCCCATACCTTTAGATATCCATCCATTTCTTTTAGGTTTTCATATTTAGTAGCATATCGGGTTTTTAAAGTATTCCCTTATAATGTTCTGTACCTTTCCGGTGTCTGTTGTGGTGTTTCCCCTTTCATCTCTGATTTTGTGGATTTGGAGGTGCTTTTTCTTTCTTTTGGTTAACTGGGTTAGTGGTCTGTCAGTCTTATTTATCTTTTAAAATAACCAGCTCATGGATTTGTTGATTCTTTGTATTGTTTTCTTTGTTTCAATTTCATTAATTTCTGCCATGATTTTTGTTATTTCTTCTTGTCTGCTGGGTTTGGGTTTCATTTCTTGTTGTTTCTCAAGTGTCTTGAGTTGCAATATTAAGTCATTTATTTGTGTTCTTTCCAATTTTTTGATGTAGGCACTTAGAGCTACGAACTTCCCTGTAAGGACCACTTTTATTGTGTCCCGGAGGTTTTGTTGTGTTTTTTTGCCAGGAATTTCTTTCTTAATTTTTCTTTTGACCAATTGATTGTTCAGGAGTGTGTTGTTCAATCTCCATGTGTTCATGTGGTGACTAGGGCTTCTTCCGGTGTTGATTTTAAGCTTATTGCATTCTGATCTGAT